TGGCTGGCAACAGCTGCCACTCTTGCACCCCCTCTTAATTGGGCCCCTGGGGCTGGTGCCCCAGTCACCCCCTGCTTATTACACTACTGGGTAACTTTATTTAGGTTTGTATATGCTCATCATTGAATGGAGGTAACTGCAAGCAGCACACAGCTAACTTTTGCTTTCATGCAAATACCCAGCTGCCAAGAAACAGCTCCTTCTCAAGATTTGACTGTAAGTAACAAGATTTAAAGCAGGAAGCAATATTTAAGTGTGCCATAGGCAAGAAGAATCACAACAATACAACAGCAGCATTTTTTCCGAGCGTAAAAGCCTGCCTGCATACTAAGAACTTACAGGACTATGTAACATCGCCATATGGTGCCTTCAGAAGTAGGAGTGGCCACACAAGCAAGAACCTCCCTTTGCCTCCAACTTTCTACTAAAAGGCCCAAAGGCCATAACATTAAGCAGGATCGTGGTAGACATTTGCTATCTAGAGAGCAGCTGTTCCATTGTATTTCAGCCTTTTTCTTTCAAGAGACTTGTTGTTGCTTTGTTTTTATATCAGTCAGAAGGGAAATTAAGTTAATGTAAAGCACAAATGAAGAAGTCTTTTCAAGTTAAAAGATTGTATCATGGTAAACTATAATGGATCAGGGAATAGGAGGATAGTGTGTGACTGATGGAGCACCAGGTCCCCAGTTGAGGAGATGTGACAGCAGTTCTATCCTTCAAACTCAGGATGCTGCCTTAAAAATCATAGGATTTAATCATAGAATTAAAAAAAATTGGTGTGGTCACTATATGCTTCTTTCCAACCCTCAGAGATTCTGTTTTCAAATTTCTGCAGCTCTGAGAATACAGGAATCTTTCATTTAATTTCTGTCTCAGGCACCCAGGGGCTGAATTAGGAAGTGAGGATTTCAGTAAAACTGCAAAATGGCATAAGATTTGCATTTAAAAATACAAGGCTTAATGACAGCAATCTCTGCAACTCTACTGAACTCTAAATTGATGGAATCCAGTCTGGATTGCAGGGAAATCAAAACCTGTGTACAATGGAACCTGTAAAATTTGGAAATCTGCTCAAGCCAGAAAATCTATACTGTTCTTGCATGTTTTGCGGGGAATTATGTAGTATATTTAATCAGTATAACCCCAATTAAGCTATCGTGGAATTAGAAAGGAAATTTGGGGCCTATTGATAGAATTGCCTTGTATGTCACAGACAGTAACTACTGTGTGTGTGATGGAGTATAACCCCCAAGCATGGCAGAGGGCTGGGAAACTCTCCGTATAAGATGGGAACCTATCTAAAACAGAACTTTTTTTCCGGTTAGGTATCATCTGTCTTAGGTTTCTCTGTACTTTTCATTTTTGCTGACAGTGGAATAGAGAATGCTCTCTTCCATACTGTGTCTTCAGTAACTGACATGTCTTCTCCTGGCAGATCTTTGAGGACCTTATAAAACTGTAACCTCCTTTCCTATTTTCTTCAATCTACCCAAGCATCCTCCTTGAATATTGCCTATGTCTTCTAGTCTGGCCTATCTCTAAGCTTATTGTATTGCCACTCATGTTTGGAACAGCCTTACTGTTTGGCATCTATCAAGGTCCTTTTTCTGTTTCCTCAAAATATTCCTAAAAACTGCCTGCTCCCAAGACACATCCCAGCAATAATGACCACATTCTATTTTACAGGTTCATAGATTGTTAGGGGCTGGAAGGGACCTTGCAGATCATTGGGTCCAGCCCTGCTGCTCTAGGCAGAAAGACAACTGAAGTCAACCCAGTGAGGTGACTGTCCAGTCTCCTCTTGAAAACCTCCAAGATAGGTGACACCCTAACCGTGAAGGAGGTTTTCTGGTATTAAGCCTGAAACAGCCTTCCAGGAGTTTGTATCCATTGGTCCTGGTCTTCCCCAAGGGTGCCCTAGTGAACAGCTGTTCACTGAGCTCCTGATGCACTCCTCTGATATAGAGGTAAACTGCTATCAAGTCCCCTTTCAGCTTTCTCTTCTTTAAGCTAAAGAGGCCCAGGTGCCTCAGCCTTTCCTTGTATGGCTTGCCTTGCAAGTCCCTGATCATATGGGTGGCTCTTCTCTAGGCCCTCTCAAGCTTTTCCATGTTCTTACTGAAGTGGGGTGCCCAGAACTGGACATAATACTCCACCTGTGGTCTCACCGGTGCTGAGTACAGCAGGAGTATCACTTCCTTAGTTTTAAACAAGATGCATCAGTTGATGTATGTCAGCACGTTATTTGCCCTGCTGGCCACCGGATTGCACTGACGGCTCATGTTTATGTGGTGGTCAGTCATGACCCCTAGGTCCCTTTCAGCTGTGGTGCAGGTCAGGCTGTTGCCTCCGAGCCTGTATGTATGTTGAGGGTTGTTTGCCCCCAGATGGAGCACCTTACACTTGGAAGCGTTAAACTTCTTCATCTGGTTCTAGTCTGCCCACCTCAGGAGCCTGTCTAGGTCTGCCTGTATCAGCAACCTATCTTCTGGGATGGCCACGCTCCCCATAACTTGGTGTCATCCACAAACTTGGCCAGCGAGCTTTTCACTCCCCCATCCAAATCATTGATAAAGATGTTGAAAAGCACCGGTCCAAGCATGGACCCCTGAGGGATGGCACTGGCCATTTTGCACCGGAACGACACAGATTCATTTATGAGAACTCTCTGGGTCCTACCCTGGATCCAGTTTCCCACCCACTGAACCGTCAAGCAGCTGAGCCCACAATCTTCCAGTTTTCCCAGAAGGATATCATGGGATGCTAGATCAAAAGCTGTTTGAAAGTCCAGGTATATAACGTCTCCCATGGCCAGGTGGCAAGAGACCTGGTCGTAGAAGATGAGATTAGTCAGACAAGACCTACCTGTGACAAAGCCAAGCTGGCTGTTGTTCAGAATCTTACCTTCCGCGAGCGTATCACACACACTTTTTTAATGAGCTTTTCCAGGATATTCCCTGGGATAGAGGTTAGGCTGATTGGCCTATAGTTGCCTGGATCCTCCCTCCTCCCCTTCTTGAAGATGGCACAATGTTGGCCCTCTTCCAGTCATCAGGGATTTCCCCTGTGCGCCACCAATTCTGAAAAAGTTTTGCCAGGGGATCCACAATGACCTCATTCAGCTCCTTCAGCACTCTTGGATGGAGTCCATCCAGTCCTGCTGACTTATAAATGTCTAGCTTTTCAAATTGGTATTGCACCCGCTCAGCATCCACAGTGGGGAGACTGACAGTCCTGGCATGCCTCCGATGAGCCTTATCTCGCTTGACTTTCCCCATGGTCTGGTGAAATACCGAAGCAAAGTGGGCATTCAGGGTTCAGTTTTTTTCCTGAATGTTGGTTACCAGCTGTCCCAAGGTGTTAAGCAGGGATCCCACACTTCCGTTTGTTTTCCTTCTGTTGCCTACATACCTAAAGTTGGACTTCTTATTGTCCTTGACTCCTGTGGCTAACCCATACTCAGTCGCCGCCTTGGCTTTCCTGATCATTGCTAAAGTACAGTCCTCCTTGAGGGCCTAGCTCCCACTATGTGTACACCTCTGGGGGGTTTTTTTTCTTTTTTAAGAGGACTGTAATGTCCCTAATAAGCCAGGAGGGCTTGCCAGCCCTCCTACTACTACCTTTCCTCTTTGCAGGAACGGTTTTCTTTTGTGCTTCGAAAATCATGTCCTTGAGCAATGGCCATTCTTCATGCACCCCATTTGCCTTCCCTTCCCGGTCCCTCATCACCTCCCCTACTAATGCTCTGAGCCTATCGAAGTCAGCATTCTTGAAGTCCAGGACTTCAGTCCTGGTGGTTGATTTGTCTACCTTGTGGCGGAGAGTGAACCTGATAATTTGATGGTTGCTGCTGCCCAGGTTACCCTCAGTGTTCAAGCCAACACCAGATCATCTCCCTGGGCCAACACCAGGTCCAGGAGAGCATTGCCTCTGGTTGGCCCTTGCACTTCCCAGGTCAGGAAGAGCTCCTCAATCAGTTAGGAAATGTGTGAATGATCTGACCTAGCCAAGTGCTCCTCCCAATCTATGTCCGGGTAATTGAAGTCAGCCATGACAACCAAGCCCCTTACACTCATGGCCTCTGTCAGTTCTCAAGAGAAATCCAGATCCAGCTCCTCCCCTTGGTTCGATGGCCTGTAGCGAATGCCCACAGTTAGGTCTCTCTCACCTTGTGCCCCATAACTTGACCCAGAGGGTTTTGAGCTGCTTATCTTTGGAGCCAATGTCAGCCTCCAGAGAGGTGTACTGCTCTCACTCAGAGCTCTACCCCTCCACCTTTTCTCCCTACTCTGTCCCTTCTGTGCAGGGTGTAGCCCTCTACGGCTACACTCCAGTCATGCGAGGAGTCCCACCAGGTCTCCGTGATCCCTACCAGGTCATATTCCCCACTAGACAGCAGAAGGGCTAGCTCCTCCTGCTTGTTCCCTATACTCCTTGCATTGGTGTACAGGCAGCTGAGGCCTTTAACTGACATCCTCGTTTTTCTGAGACGCTGTGGGAGAACTGATTGGCTAGCATTTTCAGAAACAGTTATCTTAGTGTCCTCCACAAGGGAGCTTTCCTCTGTGCCAGCGTGAGGTAAATGCCATCTCATTCACTATACAGGGACTGTACTTTCAAAGTGTGTGTGCATGTGTGTGTGATTCTGCTTATTAAGTGTTCCAGTTGCAAGGCACAACATACACATGAATCAATATATGAACAATAATATGTCTTAAAGAAAAAGTCTATTATAGCTATCTCTTATGCTAAAATTTTTTTTGAAGAACTAAACTAGGATAATCAAAACCCTTTTAAACACAACAAGAGAGGAAATATGTTATAATCATTCCCACCATAGGATGGTTTCTTCCACAGGTCTGTAATTACTTTAAGCCATAAACACATGTCTAATATTGCATTCTTTAAAAAAAATGCCCTGATATTTTAACCAGATGCCATTTGGTATTAATTAAAGCAGTCTGCCCCCTAAGCTACTAACAAGGAATTTGTCTTTGCAGGGGAAAGGATGAGTTCACCCACTGATGCCAGCATGGAAGAAATCCCTCTGGAAGATGAAGATCAAGACAGCATGGAATACAAGGTTGTATTGGCCTTTGCCCAACGGCGATTGTCCGCCAGCAAATATGGGCAACTTCTGGAAAAGGGGGTAAAGACACAGAGAGGATTGCCCCAAGACCAAGGAGAAATGGAAAGTGTTCCTCAAGCTCATAAGACCAAGAGAAGCCACAAGGTGTCCATCAAGGACAAAAAGCCCACTACCCTAAATAAAAAGCAAAGGACAAAAACATCTACCTGGAAATGCCGGCTTCTCCCTTCCTGTTTGAGAAGAGAGACAGAAGAGGGCCCCCAGCAGCCATCTGCCAACCAAGATGATATGAATGGACTGACCTTACATGCAGCAACAGCTGGTAGGAGTGCTGATGCTTCTCTAGGGCCAGAAGGTGAGTGCCCATCAGAGGATCTAGGATTTTGAAAAAGGGGGCGGGGGGTGCAGATGGTCAGGTGGTACATCATCACATAGAACACAACACACATTTTTCTCCAGTTAAAAATAAACTAGAAGCTTTACTAACATACTAGGGGCCTAGAGTGATACTATTCAATTTAAAATTGATGCAAAAATGAATAAAACTTTATTGGAATGAGTTAGAAACAGCCTGCAAGACTGTGAAATAAGAGGAGGTACTTTATTAGGAGCAGCTAATAGACAGCAGAATTGCAGTAGGCAGACTAGCTTGATTAATGGAACATCAAGACCATTAAAAAGAAGAGGGTCATTAACACCTGTGGAATGAAGAGTTTAGAAGGAATCAGATTTTAATGAGCCATGAAGTCTAGTGACTCCCTTACTGCTGTCTAAAGAGAAATGCTGGTGCCGCTGCCAGGCTGTTGGCTTTAAACTTTGGATGGAGCAGGAATCAAAGAGGGGTGCAAGTGCACCAGTGCACCTCCCCTGAATCTGCCTCTGACTGCCTGAAGGCTCCTGTTAGTTCATTCCCCTCTACCCACTTGGTTTCTGTTTCTCTCCTTTTTGCTGGCTGGTCAGCCCCTAGTTTTTTTCCCCATATTTGTTTTAATGCATTTTATGCTAGCTGTTTTGGTTTTCCTAACTAGGAAACAAAATTGCTTGACCATCATCACTGCCATTTACCTACTTTCACATATGGTAGATTCATGCTTCTTTATACTGTGAACTCATTTTGCTGGCCATGACTATCCTGCCACAATAAAACAGCTATACAGATCTGGTTTTCCAAGTGCTGGTGCACTGTCTCTGATACCTGGCCACAGGATGTCATGAACAGCAATGTAAAACAACCCAATAGTAGGATTGCCAGTCCTGTGTAAGACCAGTAAGAAAGGACTGCGAAGGTCTTTCCACAGGGGAGGGACTCTTTCCTACATCAACACTCAAGAATGACATAAGGGCTTATTCATGGGCTCTGTCCATCTGCAGAGCTAAGGCAATCCATGCATGCGCACCACATGTCTCGATCCCTTCTGCATTCTTAGCGTGCCCTATGCCCAGGCATATTGGCTTAAATGTAGCTTTGTTCCAAGCCTTCCCCCACTTCTCCCACTGCTACAGAATCCCTTTGAAGAGTCCCTTAGTGAGGAGGCAAAGGACGATAACCTAAGATGGGTAGATTCTGAGAAATTTCCATGCAACCACAGGGAGGAGTGGGACATGGATTTCCCCTCAGCAAAGAGTCCTGCACCTACAAAGATTATTAGTGGGGTATTGGGAGGAGGAAACCCTGCTGCAGAAGAGGCTGGCCTATTGGCTGCACAGTAAGCAAGAGATTTGTTTGCCCATGTCAGCCTTCAGATTCAGGGGGCCTTTCTTGGCTCATTATTATCCATAATTTATTGCATCTTCAAATTCCATAGATCCCCCTACCTTTCTATAAGGTGTTGTGTTGATTCCACCATGTCTCCCTGGAGAACTAGTTTGTGCTCTGAAATACGAGGGTTTAGAAATGGCAATGGGATGTTCTGTAAAATTTTCCACGCTAATTTGGCCCAAGTAAGATAATATAGAAGTTGTGTCTCCAAACCATTCATTCTCAGCTATCTTCTAAATTCTCCTAAACACCTTGAAGCAGCTCCCAACCAACAATTCCCCCAGATGTTAGACCTCCTAGCATCTTCCAGTTGAATTCTCTGCCTAGATCCCTCCATCCTATCCCTCTTGTCAGGAATAAGTAGCACCAACCTGAAGAATCCCTAGTTGCCACTTGTCTACCTGTGCATGCCATATTCCGCCTTTTATTTTTACTTCCTTCCTAGACATTGAGACAAATTGTTTGGCTTTTCTGCTTTAAAAATGTGATGCTCCTTTTAGTGTACTGTTATAGTTCAGCCAGCAGGTGGCAGTATGACCCCAACTAAAAATGCCAGTTGGAAAGGCTTACCTTGAAGGAAGTGTTGGGCCCAAAATTCAAGCTGCAGTTATGTTTGAGCTAAGGCATTTAATGCATGTTTAAGGCAGTGGTTCTCACCCTTATTAGACTCAAAGCACCCCTCAATGTGCCAGCTCTTCGCTTTCACCTCTCTTTTAACTATGGAAAAATAACAGCAATTTTTCTGTGGTGAAAAACTCAGAAAGACCACAACAGTTCAGGACATTTTGAAACTTTGAATTCGTATTTGAAATCTCTGGGTTTATCTTGTGAATTATGTTCAGGTATTTACATACCTAACAATGTTAATATTTTGCAACACCCTGATTGAGAATTACTGGTTCAGGCATTCTGCAGAAATGGACCGTGCTTTTTGAAATCCTGGCATGTCAGTCCTAGAGTTTGCCAGCTCACAGCCGAATGGATGAATCCTTGGACTGAGAACTCTTTTTCCAGAATTGGGTACCTAATTACATATTTAAGTCCTGGAAAACTTGGCTTTTTTGTTGTTGTTGCTTGGAAAAGTGCTGACCACCCAGCAACTCCCAGACAAAGTGTTTATAAAACTGCAGTCAGTGCTGGGTCATCCAGGACAAGGTGTGGAAGTGGTTATTATTAACCAAGGCACTCTACAATAGAGGTCCTATGTTACTATGTGAATTGTACACACACACACACACACACACACACACTGTCTTCTGGTAACACAGGAGCTGCCATCTGGTCGATCAGGGCTAAATGCAAAATGAGTTGCTGCTGGAAATTGCTCTGTCATGACAGCAGCTATTCCTCCTCGCTTAGCTAGCATGCAGTGCCAATCTGGCTCACCTGATGCCTGCGGCTCAGGAAGGTCCTGGACAAAGTCTTGGCTGCTGTGGATAAGCAAGGCCAACTGCTGGACAAAGAACCCTGTTGTTGCACACGTCCACAGCAATGTCTAGTCACATAAGGCATGTGTGGCCCCATCCCCATGCTGATGTAGACAGGCTCTGAAGTGAAACTCCTTTGGTTTTTTCAAGTTTGGGCCCAGCCTGGAGAAAGGAGGGAGAGATTGTTGTTATAACATATTACCAGTATATTTCATAAAGCTGGGCATGACCCATTCATTATATCGAGACCAGCTTTTGCATGGCCTCTAATTGGGGGAGTGGCTGTAAGAGAGTTTGGGAAGCACTGTCGGGGTGTGGTGCACCTTCCACATTATCCATGTGACCCTGAACAATAGCAAAACCCATCATTGGACCTCAGCTTTCTCCACCATAGGGCAACTGTGGGCACAATAGGTAGAATCTTGGCTCACCTGCTTGAGGGCCTAACAAGGAGGTGGCTCTTCTTTTCTCTCTCTCTTCCCAGCTAGGGCAGAGACCATCAGCCGTGTTGCAGACAGACTTGTCAAGATAGTTCATTCCAAATCACCATCAGATTCTTCGGGAGTGGCATTCAGAACATTAGTGCGTACTCCAAGCCTAGAAGAAGATGGGAATGACACTGAAAAAGGTAAGACTGAGAAGTTCCGCTGTGGTTTATAAAGTATTTCTCTCAGTCCATGATGATACATGGTCACCATGCCCTTTCCAGCTGGTATGGTCTCACATAGACATGCCATTACTTGTATTCTGTTGGAATAAACTAACTGTGTCTTTTATTTTTTCCTTTAATAGATGAAGAAAAGATAATAGAAGCAATTGTTGATTTGTTAAGAAAATCCGGAGATGAACTGGTGACAAAGGTAAACGTTTCATTTTTAACATAGCAATCCTGAGTCTGTCAGTTAGAGTGGAACATAAGATTTTCATTACTGAAACTATGAATCTCTGATAGTTAGCTCCCATAGTGAGTGGCAAGGGTGGTAGAGTTTCTGTCTCCTATGAAGGCCTACCATGTCACACCCTGGAATCAGTGGGATAAGCATACACAGTATAATTATGTCCCTACATGCATGATCATGCATAGAGTTTTTTCCAACACAAGAAGTCCCATTGATTTCAAAGAGGATTATTCATACAACTGTCTTGAGTAAATTGGCAGGACTGTCCCATAAACCTAGAAGTGTAGGTTTGTAGAGAAATGTGCCAGGCATGTTTGCTTTTCTTAAACTGCATTCTAAAGATAGTGTTGATGGCATATTTCCAGGAGACACTAATGTGATCTCTACATTTCCAGGACCTAAATTCTATTCCCCCCCTCAGTGAAACCCCATTATGTTTATTGGTCTAGCTTGAACTGACTATTCTTTATTCTTATTTTCAGTTGGAACAGGACAGGACTTTCCATCAGTATGTCATGGATATGTTTTCCTATGCCTTCTTCAGAAAAGTCACTGATCAGTTCTTGGAGGATATCCCAATGGATTCTATAAAAGAGGATGAAGACAAAATCCAATACACCAAAGTTGCTTTTACACTGGAAGTCGCAACTAGACTTACAGCTGTGGACAACCATCCTATGAATCTGGTCCTGGGGTTTGGATCAAAGTACCTCAAAGAACATTTTAGCCCTTGGATTCAAAACCATGGTGGATGGGTATGAGTTGTTTGGGGGTTTTTTTTTCTCCCCTCCCCCTAGGATTGGAAAATAACATATTTATAAACTATTAATTTCCTATGCTGAAAACAGTGTTAGAAAATTCTGTGAGTTAACTATCATTTAGAGGGCATGAGTGGACAGGTATGAAATTACATTGCATAATGAGCACCTACTTGTGAGCCTGAGAATATATCAGGATCTGTGCATCTATAATCCTTCATCCTATGATGTGATCTTGAACCTTTATGATGCACATCACAACATACACTGTCTCTTAGTTCCTCTTGATCTCAAGTTCCCCCACCGTCTTCCATGCTGTCATTTATGGTAGGAACATGTTTCCATTTTGACTGTGCAAAGGAGCATTTGGTTTCCTTCACATCCTTCCTCAGAAGCCATTTTGCAAAGTTTTCCCAGGCTAATCCTCTTACCAAGATGTTTCCCTCGATGAGGTATTGGTCCAAATATCTCAGCTGCCTGAACTTGACTGCAAGTCCCTCACTGCTTGCCTTTCTGTGTTCTGCAGAGTAGGGGGTTATTTGTCACTATAAACTATGCATCTCCTTCAGTCAGGAGGACTTGTTGCTCAGCAGTAGAGGCATCCTTTGCTCTGAAGCACATTGGGAGCATTTGAAATGGCCATAGGGGTTATAGGCACTTCATGTATCCTATGTCAGATTCTTTTCTTCTCTTACAGGAAAAGGCTTTGGAATTGTTGGATGAGGAAGAAGTAGAATAAATTTGATTCACACTTCGGAGCTTTGGCAGCTAACCCAACCTAAAAATGAATTGAGAGGGGGAAACTTTGACCTTCCTCAAACCTGGGGGTAGGATTGTTCTTCAAGTCACATGCTGCAGAAATATTCTCTAGTGCATATGGAAACAAGACTTGCTGCCTTTCTTGTGATGAACAGATACCTCACCATACAGGAAATGCAACATTGTAGCTCTTGTTAATGTGAATTCTGGTGCGGTGTTTGGTTAGTGAGAAGACCCATTTTCTTCAGACCTTTAGCTCTGTTCTCAATGTCCACCCCCAGAGAGATCAACTTGTATGAGCATTTCTAACTTAGCCTCTCTGTTATAATGTACTACCCCCCCATGCATATAATATACATTATTCTCATAAGCATTAATTTTGCTAATACAAGACTCTCAAAAAGGCGAAGTTAAGGAATGTTAAAACTGTCCTCTGACCAATAAAGAAAACTATTTGTTGTAACATTTTAAAAGAGGCCACCTGCCAGGGAAACTGTTCCCAATATTGTTTGATTTGTAGCCCATTTGGCTGATATTTGTTTAATTGAAAAAAGGAGGAATTTAGATCCTTAGGTGTAGTTATAAAATTTGGATCTTTCTCTCCCTAGCACGTGACTCCATCTGTAAATGGTTACACTTGGTGAAAAGACTTGGGTGTCCTTTCACTGTGGTCAGGAGAAACATTGGTAACCATTAGATGGAGGAAACAGTGTATTAAAAATTCATCTGAATGAAATTGGACCGACTCTCAATTCTTTGTTAAATATGTTGGTCTTTAAGAGTGAGTGAGGACTGATAGGAGCCAAAACTAACTTTCTAATTAACTTTGAAATGATGGTATGTAACAAACACTGGCCAATCAGGTTGTCTAATGTGTATCAAATAGGGTACCTACAATCGCTAGTCACTTTCCATAAGTTAGGATTCATACCTACATTTCCTAATCCTAGTTTGAAATGCTCTGAAAATATCCAGCCATACTTCTGTCTCTCTTTTTGCCCCCTCTCATGGCATCTTCTGTAGAAGAACTTAGATTGTGACAATCCTGCTGTATTACAATGAGTGTCTAGTGCTACAAGCAGAGGCAAAGCTGCATTGTAAATGTAAAGGGGAAGCCATAATAGTTTCAAATCAAGATACACCCTTTCACAAAGCCAGATCCTCAACTGGCATGGCTGAGCCACATCTACCTCATCATACCAGCTAAGGATTTGGTTCGCAGTATTAAACTATTGAAACTTCCTGTTTCTGTGCTATGTCTGACTGGCTGATAGAATGGCAGTAATTGTGTCTACCGAACACTGGTGTTGCAAAGTGAATAATTTTTTTGCACTATTAACTCAGTTGATTCATGAAACAGGCTTAGTGAACCAGGCTTCAACACTAAAGCAAGAAGGTACAACTCCATGGTAAATGTCCTACACCTGTCTTTAATCCACTGTATGTTTTAGCTAAAGACCAGCTTTGTAGTACATAAACTTCTGCAAGTTAGCTGGATTCTGACTACTAGAAGCCATATTTTATTTTATTTTACTTTATGTTTTCCTGGTTTCAGTAGCCATTAGTTGGTGAATAGGGTATGGACCTTTTGTTGTGTGCTTTATTGCTTCAAGGTAACCATCAGGCCTACCTACAAATCTGCCTCTTTTTTCTTTAGTTTGGTGCTACTTCTGGATTAGTTTCTCAGTGGGAAAACAAGGTCATAGAAAGAAAAGCACAGAGCTTGGATGGAACACTTAAAACTTAGCCATCTAAAACAATATTCAGCTGTATTTTTATTTTTGCACTGTGCTGCTGAGCTGGGATGAGGGACTTTCTTTGGTAGCATTAGGGTCCAATATGGAAAACCATCCAAGTGAACTGTTTCTTATTTAAATGTTCTTCCATTTGCCATCCACATCACTTCATCTTGAAGTGCAACCTGCTCCTTTTTATCTCAGGAATGCGTGGTAACCTTCTTATGCTGAGGATGATAGCTTTGATCCACTGGAAGAATAGCATGTAAAGTTGTACACTGATGCCACTGAAACTTGATATTGCTATTGCCTAGAATTAATTGACCAAATCCTTTTGGATTGGCGGTCCAGTCTGTTATCTGTATCAAATAAAACAGCACAATAAAACTACTTAGTTTTCTCTTGGTATCTTGTATTGTTGCAGTGGATGCATGGTTAACCCTTCCATTTACCCCAATTCTTTCCCCATTTATTTTTATCTCTAATCCCATATAGAGAACTTTAATGGAACCCACAGCTCTCAAGATAGGGATAGAGACCTTATATTCCCATACCCAAGGACCTGCTGTTAAGTGCAAAGCTGTCCCTTTTATGTTTAACCAGATCAGCATTCTGCTGTTTGTTATAGCAACAAGCTTAAAACTTAAAAACTCCATGCTATGTTAAAAGTTGCAAAAGCCAGGATTAAAAAATGGGTATAGCTTTTGCCAAGATTTTTTGTTTAAAGCCTAGTACCACCACCCTGTAGGTGGGGAAAGAGGGGGGCATGCAGCATGTGTGGCCCCTTAGAAGTGGGACACCCCTGCAATAGCATACGGCTTCCTGGGCTTTCCTAATAAACTAACTTGCTTTACCACTTGTAATCTATGACCCCAGCCCATGGACCAATCCAGAAGGGAGGTGAGGAGGGTGTGGCAATCCCCCTTTCTCTGTGCTCACTGGCATGTCAGCCCTGTTCCTGCCAGAGCTCCACAGTTGCTATGAGCTCTGAGCACCAATCAGCTGGTGAGTATGACACCATTGGATTGGTGTCCCCCTGCTTTCACATGACTTCACTATATTAAAAATTCATCCCCTCTGGCTTCTCCCCTGCCCCAGCATAATGCATGCCCCCTCTCAAAGTCCATGTGGGCTATGAACGATCAGCAAATGAAACCTGCCATTATCTTTGGCTTCTGGAACTGATGTCTCCCCCATCTTTCCTGGTTGCTGGGCAAGTGAGACACAAGGCAAGTGGACTTAGCTCCCTAACATGCCATGCTGCATTTTCAGTCTACAGGGCTGAACACAAGTGAAGATGCTGCTTTCTGCTTAGGGGCCATCGTGACTGCCACACCAACGTGAGGTCAATAGGAGATAGATAGTAGCCCTATGGTCAGCCCTTTCCTGTGAAAGCAAACATTCTCTCTCTCTCTCTCTCTCTCTCTCTCTCTCTCTCTCTCACACACGCTAGGGGATGAAAGTGAGATCAAAGGGAGCCATGATCATTACAGGCAGTCCTCAGACTTCAACACAATTGGTTCCTGAAAACCGTGTCTTTAAGTCGAAACGTAACTTGGAAGTGATTTTTCCCATAGGAAACAATGTTATAAATGGGGGATTGGTTACTAAACCAAGGCCAATACCCTATTTTAAACACAAATAACCCAGAATTTTATACTCAATCAATTATAAATGAGTAATATAGCTACGTTAATGTATTTATATTGTAAATAGCAATCATATTAAGTTGGAAGGACTTCTTTGAGGTGACTTTGCTGGACTTTTTGAAGGGCTCTTGGTTGGACTTTCTGAAGGGTTCCTGGCTGGAGTCTTCTTAGGAGTCTTGGCTGCAGGTTTTTTCTGGAGTCTTGTCTGCTTTCTTAAAGAAAACATCCAACGAAGTTTGGATAGATGCTCTCCAGGGAGATAGGTGACACAGAACTGTTCACTGGCATGGCATAGTGACTTTACAATGTTTGATCAGACAAAACTGACATCAGAAAGTTGAAACGGTGTCAATTTATAAATGTTGTAAGTGTGAAAGGTTGCAACTCGAAACTTAAGTTGAGGACTGCCTGTATTTACATTTCACTGTAAAACTCTCTCTCTGCACAATATGCTCACATGGATGGTCCTGCTTTGAGAAGGGGGTTGGACTAGATGACCTCCTGAGGTCCCTTCAATCTCTAACTTTCTATGATTCTATGGCTGACAGATCTGTTTCAGGAGAGGAGAGCTGTCTCAATATAGCCATTCCATTGTGCAGCAAATCACCAGGATGAAAAATGTGGAGGGGAATGAGTCAGTGGAGGTGCTTCCCATGATTCATTACCTGACAAGGGGCATGATTTGGAACAAGCTTGGGGTAAAAGGTCAGAGCTCGGTTCTTTGAACATGGCCCTTTTAATTTGGGTAGGGCTTGGTAGAAGTGTTGCATTTACATTATGTAAAACATGTCAGTAAAAATGTTTGACTCTCAGCAAAAGTTTGAAGATTATCAATAAAAAGAAAGTTTGGGGGTTTACAACCCTGGTGGGATAGTAGTAGTACCTGGATTCTAGTTGTGATGTGCTTATATGAAATTGCTAAATGCTTAGGGTACTGTCCAGGCATATGAAAAAACTGGTTCAGATTCTTCTTATGCTAGACTTGGGAAGGGACTTGAAACCAGATCTTGGCTACTAGGGAATCTCAGCGTAGTTCTTTCTTCTGTTGAAGCTATTGCATATTATAGATTTTTTTTTTTTAAATTAGTGGAGCTGGGACTCTATTTCAATACTGCAGATGAGTGGCAGCTTTGGGACCATTCATTCTCAGTTTGTGTCCTACTGAATTTTAGGTGAACCTATGTTCCTGCCACAAATGAAGAATTTGTGGCACTCCCATATACCTGTCACAACCAAATTAAGTACTGCCCATGCCACAAGCAAGAAATATATTAATCAAAAACAGTTTTAGTCTGCACTAGGTTAACTAAGAGTTAACTAACAAGAAGATAGTAACAGTTTTTTGCTGCGCATGTCAAAAAGAGATTTATAACTGCGACACTAACTAGAAATGAAACTTAGCCTTCTGTGCTGTACATAAATCATTATAACTGGTCAGAAAAAACAGGGAGTAACCCTATGATAACACCCTAGCGAAGACTGCTAGATAATTGGCGATGCTAATTAAATTTATGATGTGGCGAAAAGCAATTGGCTATTACACAAATAAAACCCGTCTTCACTTCCGTGAAGTGGGAGACCTCCGCACACACACCTAAAAAACCTCTGAACGTATGCGTGAGAGTAACTGACAAATTGATCACTTGTCAGTTTCCCCCGTCTCGACCCAATTCTCAGACGTAAATCAACGACCTGCCAGCCCGACCTTTTTCTCCATTTCTCTGCCCGACCGACGAACTTTTATGCAGACCGACCTACGAACTTTAAGCTGTAACTAACCAAGTATCTGTAACCTCCGTCTTTCGCCACCTTGACAGCGTGAGTAAATAATCTTGCTTTGCAACCGATAAGCGTCCGCCTAATTAATTCCACTCCAAGCGTCACAAGTACCCGCCTGACGGCCTTCTAAGGCCCCGGACCCATAACTGCCCAGGTGGGAGTCAGGGAGAGCTGCTGGCCAGCTGCCCTGGGTCCCGACAATACCCATTTAAGGATCTAACCAATGGGGTTTTGTAAAATAATCTGAGAAGGGTGTCCTGAGAATACAGTACCTACCAAAGTGGACCCTCCAAGTGAGAGAAGAGGAACACCTAGTTTGTTATTCTATACAGATCTTGGATACTGAGCAGCTTTCTGCCATCACAACTTGGCTGGTTATCTACATGCCCAGCCATGGGAATGCAAGAGTCAGGGAATCTGGGCATCTCCAGAGCCACACGTACAGAGAGACTGAGCATAAAGGAAAACTTGCGCTCTTGCTGCCAATGAAAAAAGTGGCCTAAGAAGTTATGTTAGGAGGCAAATGCACTCAGCAGTGCCCACTGTTCTCTGGCATCATTTAATATGTGGTTTAAAAAAAACCCACTGGAGATTTAAAGTAGCTGAGTCCACTTACCTGCAGCCACATTTATTATTTTTTTAAATTAAACTTGTGTGACTTCATGGTTTGGGAGAGGTGCTTTTCTGTCAGCAGCTGGGATACAAACAATTTTATGTGGGGTGAGGTTACAAGACTTGTCCCAAGTGTTGTCATTTTAAGCTTCAGAAAAGAGGAGGTGACTGTGACCTTTCAAATGACCTCTGCAGATCTCAAAGCTATAGAAGGCTATTAGTAGCAGCTAGGTCCTGCCAGTATCAAAATTAAACATTTCTGAGTGGATTATGTGAATTTGCAATATGATTTTTAATCCTTTAGGTCACATTTACATGCTTCTTTCCACAACCATGAAGGCTAAAAATGGTGGGGAAAAGGAGGGGATGTAGGGCAGAGGAGGAAGGTTGGTACAAAAAGGGAGGTCCCATCTAAATGCATGACTCCAGAAACTAAGATTAAGTAAACACCAAACACTGTGAGACTCCTAATGAAATCACAACACCAACACCCACCCTCCAAGAAATGCACTAGAGTGGCAGAGTGGTTTTAGGGATGGGAGGCAGACTGGTTTTGGGGATGAGGTACTGCACAGAAGGGGGTGTTTCATTACCCAGTCAATCACTTCTTTATACAAACACTATGCTGCAAACAGGGCTCCCTGATGGATCTGAAATCCACAAAGACCATCTACTACGGGGAAAGCTCAGTTAAATGATCATTGTGCCAGGAAGTGAGGAAGCACTTAACCAACTCTCTCTTGTGTATTAGGGCAGCTACCTAGGTAAGGTTCAGCAACCAATAATGGAACTAGGAAATAATGGGCTCCTAGGGTAAGCATAATTTTTGGGCCACTGATTAAAATAACACAAAATGCATAAACATGTGTGCATTAATAAATAATATGTCAGAACATAAATAAATAAATAGTCAAATAATATTTTATCTCTTTTGCACTCATCACGACTACTAGAACTTCCTCCCCACAAATTCATCAATAATCTGGTCTGAGTTAATTTTTCTAGTCTTCTCACTTTCAATAGACAAAGTCTTTCTTGTACTATTGTGCTATGCAGAGAATTCTTAATTATACTGAGTTTTGAAAAAGAGTGTTCAGCACTTGATGCAGTAAAAGGATGGTTAAAAACAACACAACCATCATACATATTTCAGAAAAAAACTTAATGGCAAAACGTTATCAGCAATCAATAATTTAGCCAAATCTTCTAAATACAAGCGATTCTCCAGGCAAGGTGGCAGAACAATGCTTCATGTTTTGTTTTGTTTTTTTCTAACTATTCAGCTTCTTCATACAGCTCATCATCCGTTGCTGACATAAATGTCTTCCATTGAATTATGTTAAACTTTGT